AAAAAAAAAAAAAAAAAAAAAAAAGCCTCTATCACAGTGGTCAATCGAGTGTAAGTTTAAGATGCAAGGTCTGGTACCGACGGGCCTAGCTCAGTGGAATCAGTGGATACACCCATGAACAGTTACTGTTGAAATCAAGACCAAAGTTCGAATCCAGATGCAACCTGAATTATAAAAGGATGCAAGGTCTGGTGCTTAGCAGGTACAGTTCCTCATGTACTAGAGGAGACAGAGCCTCTGGGGACAAGGAGCCTCCGAAAAACGAGGTTCACAGCATCAAGTCAGAGTTGGAAAAAGAAGAAGAAAAAAATGCTACAACTTACAAGGGAAAATTTTTGAAATGCTCCTCCGTTTTCCATTGATTTGCGGTATGCCCCTCCAACAGCCAACTCACCCTGTCGTGCCCCTGGTGCCTCTGAAGCTTCCTGCAGGCCCCTGTCAGTGAGGAGTGCAACTTTCCAGCAAGCCCCTGTGTGGCCGTTGGTGGCACTCGTGGCTGTTCCCCTGGCCCTGGGAGGGGAGCTACAGGGGCATAGTACTGGAAATTTGGAACCCGTACCGCTAGGTGCATATTGAACATATTTCAGGCCCAATCGACACCAGGGGCTTTGTGGAAACTTCAATTGTTGTCAGAGGGGCACGACAGGGTAGGTCGACCGTCAGAGGGGCATACCGCAAATAAACGGAAGTCGGAGGGGCATTTCGAAAAGTTTCCCAAGTTACAAAAAAAAAAAAGGGACGAAAAAAGAATCGAGGAGAAGGCAGGCAAAAAACACACGCAGCCATCCTGCACATCAGAAACCACAGAACCGAGACACGTGGCGGTGGGGCCCACCCGATTGAGAGCCGACACCTCCATTCCTCATTTCCTGACACTCGATTTCGCCCACTTCGGGGACCAAGTCCTACTAGCAGCATCAAGTTTCCTCAACACCCGAATATGAACGAGGATGTACAGACAATCGCATCGAGTTTCCTCCACCATACATTTCCACAAACACGTCCAGATTCGGGCGTTGAGGAAACTCAACACTGCTACTAGTGGGTCTTGGCCCACAGACGACAAAACCACTGGCGTCCTTCGGGACCTCGGTTACAATTGCAAGAATATAGACAAGATTAGCATGGCCCCTGCACAAGGATGACATGCGTAAATGTAGAAACATAAGGGAAAAAAAAACAAAGGGGATTGCAAGACAAACAAACAAACAAAAAAAAACGATGTGGGGATCAGGTATTGCAGTGACCATATGGTCGCCTTTGCGCCATTTTTCTTATAGAAGAGCATGTACTGTATACCCATAAAAAATTGCATTTTTTATAAAATGAAACGGACCACAGCAAGACACCCCCTAAAGAGGAGATGGCCAGAAGCTTGCACCCCCCCTCCTCCGGGTAACCGGCCTCCGCCCTGTGTTCACCGGAGCGGCATCAGAAGATGGGCAGGACACCGTTGGTTTAAAGGGAGTCAGCCCTAAACCCTGAGCCCTGAAAGAACAAGTTGCAAGAAGAACCAACCTCATGGTTAAGAACTTGGGGCTTCATTCGAGGAGCACCAGTCCTGATTATGATGATGTAGGGGATGATGGGGATCCAGAGACGAGGACAATGGGTGTGTGGGAAGAGAGAGAGAGAGAGAGAGAGAGAGAGAGAGAGAGAGAGAGAGAGAGAGAGAGAGAGAGAGAGAGAGAGAGAGAGACAAGGAGAGAGAGAGAGAGAGCGGGATGCACACTTGTGGACTATTCTAGACTTCACTTGACAGACAAGAGGCAGAACATAACAACAAATTCACCAGGAAGATTACCCCTCCAGGGAGTTCCAAACACCTCAGGCCTGTAATCCTTCAGAAATGCTGCTGCAGCAGGAGCCAGAGGCACATCAGCTGACTTTATTCTGGTGTCTGCCTCAGCAGTGCTTACCACACGCCCCAGCCTTTACCTGCATGGACTCGCAGGAGGGTCACCACAGTAGTTGCAAGGTGACCGACAACCTGTCGAGTGTCACACGCGCATGCCATCTTGCCGGATGCCACCGGCATGTCAACGTACATGGTGGGATTTGTCACACGTGGACCCGCTGATGTGTGGCAGATTTCTCAACCTCGCCATGTGTCACAGACAAGCGTCAACTGGCCAATTGTTGCGCAGAAGTCGACCAGGAAGGTGTGGCCGATGTATCCACCGGCCACGTGTCGCACACACATGCGAACTCGTCAGCAGATGCAAACAAGGTGACCGCCAAGGTGTGGCAGGTCTCGACTAGCAAAGTGTCACACTCCATGTTGACCTTGCTGTCATGTGTGACACTCTATGAATGACATGTGTCAGCACACGAGCTGCGTCAAACCACACGTCAAGGTGCCACCTGTCTATCGACCTCCTCGGGCCTTGGCGTGTGGCTCCCATAATACAAGCCTGCAGTGACCTGTGCAGTATGCGCCATAGATTCTCAACCTGCAAATTGAGCAGAGCGCACGCCTCTCTGCAACGTGGGGACGCTACTGCAGGCCTCTGACTACCAGTAGCAAACTGGACTTCTCAGAAAAAGACCTCATAAGTCCACCGTGCAAGCGCATGGGTGACCCCTCTTAAGAGATATATGGACCAACATTTATCCGGAAAGAGCACAGCAAAAGCAGGAGGAAGACAAGAGACATCACCTGTGGCTTTATTTCTGTCGAAGCTACTTTCACTCTGCTTGATGCACAGTCAGAGCAGAGAACCAAGATCCCTGCCATAGCCAACAAACCAACACCAACACCGACTCACAGATATTTTGCCTTAAGGCTTACGCCGAAACGAAATGTCACCCTGTGGACGCCCCTCAGGGCCCCTCTGCTCCCCACGCCCCCTTCCCCCCCTCCCAAGGAAAAAGCCTCTTCATCATCAGACTTGACATGCCCCACCGAAGCTGCTTTCACGCTGCTCGATTCACAGTCCAAGCAGAGAACCAAGATATCTGCAATAGACAACAAATCAACACCGACTCACAGATCTTGCCTTGAGCCCAAACGAAATGACACCCTGCGGGGTCAAGTTGGACCCCCTCTTCCCGAAGACCCCCCCCCCCCCCCCCCAAAAGAAAAAGCCTCTTCATCATCAGACTTGATATGCCTCCCCTTCTAAAGGAGGCCAAAACGAGCTAGCGCTACCCTAAAAAGCNTAAGAACTTGGGGCTTCATTCGAGGAGCACCAGTCCTGATTATGATGATGTAGGGGATGATGGGGATCCAGAGACGAGGACAATGGGTGTGTGGGAAGAGAGAGAGAGAGAGAGAGAGAGAGAGAGAGAGAGAGAGAGAGAGAGAGAGAGAGAGAGAGAGAGAGAGAGAGAGACAAGGAGAGAGAGAGAGAGAGCGGGATGCACACTTGTGGACTATTCTAGACTTCACTTGACAGACAAGAGGCAGAACATAACAACAAATTCACCAGGAAGATTACCCCTCCAGGGAGTTCCAAACACCTCAGGCCTGTAATCCTTCAGAAATGCTGCTGCAGCAGGAGCCAGAGGCACATCAGCTGACTTTATTCTGGTGTCTGCCTCAGCAGTGCTTACCACACGCCCCAGCCTTTACCTGCATGGACTCGCAGGAGGGTCACCACAGTAGTTGCAAGGTGACCGACAACCTGTCGAGTGTCACACGCGCATGCCATCTTGCCGGATGCCACCGGCATGTCAACGTACATGGTGGGATTTGTCACACGTGGACCCGCTGATGTGTGGCAGATTTCTCAACCTCGCCATGTGTCACAGACAAGCGTCAACTGGCCAATTGTTGCGCAGAAGTCGACCAGGAAGGTGTGGCCGATGTATCCACCGGCCACGTGTCGCACACACATGCGAACTCGTCAGCAGATGCAAACAAGGTGACCGCCAAGGTGTGGCAGGTCTCGACTAGCAAAGTGTCACACTCCATGTTGACCTTGCTGTCATGTGTGACACTCTATGAATGACATGTGTCAGCACACGAGCTGCGTCAAACCACACGTCAAGGTGCCACCTGTCTATCGACCTCCTCGGGCCTTGGCGTGTGGCTCCCATAATACAAGCCTGCAGTGACCTGTGCAGTATGCGCCATAGATTCTCAACCTGCAAATTGAGCAGAGCGCACGCCTCTCTGCAACGTGGGGACGCTACTGCAGGCCTCTGACTACCAGTAGCAAACTGGACTTCTCAGAAAAAGACCTCATAAGTCCACCGTGCAAGCGCATGGGTGACCCCTCTTAAGAGATATATGGACCAACATTTATCCGGAAAGAGCACAGCAAAAGCAGGAGGAAGACAAGAGACATCACCTGTGGCTTTATTTCTGTCGAAGCTACTTTCACTCTGCTTGATGCACAGTCAGAGCAGAGAACCAAGATCCCTGCCATAGCCAACAAACCAACACCAACACCGACTCACAGATATTTTGCCTTAAGGCTTACGCCGAAACGAAATGTCACCCTGTGGACGCCCCTCAGGGCCCCTCTGCTCCCCACGCCCCCTTCCCCCCCTCCCAAGGAAAAAGCCTCTTCATCATCAGACTTGACATGCCCCACCGAAGCTGCTTTCACGCTGCTCGATTCACAGTCCAAGCAGAGAACCAAGATATCTGCAATAGACAACAAATCAACACCGACTCACAGATCTTGCCTTGAGCCCAAACGAAATGACACCCTGCGGGGTCAAGTTGGACCCCCTCTTCCCGAAGACCCCCCCCCCCCCCCCCCAAAAGAAAAAGCCTCTTCATCATCAGACTTGATATGCCTCCCCTTCTAAAGGAGGCCAAAACGAGCTAGCGCTACCCTAAAAAGCTCAGCAAAGGCGGGTGCAAGAGAGACATCATCTGCTTTTATTTTGCCGGATGCCATTGCACGAGCGGTATCGACATGGAGCTCGACCAAGAAAAACCCCGCTTGAGCCGATGGGTCAAGAAAATTTGGTTGGCTCTGCGCGTAGAAGAAGTACTTGAAATTGGGGGGCTTTCCTCCCGATGCCATGCAGAATATGTGTCGGTCAATCATGTGGACATTCAAGGGCTGGGGTGTCGCCAATTTCATGATTCCAGTCGGCGCCAGCTTCTCCTCCTGAACGGGGACGACAACATAACATTAGAATTTGAAATACATGTCAGTTAATACTCCTTCAAAACCTCAAAACACTTTCCTGGCCTCTTGTCAGTTCAAGCGCAGTACCTGTTCTGATCAGTGACCCATCGGACAACAAAACGATAAAAAAAAAAAGAAGGTGTTTGCGAGTAATGTCAGCAACAAGGCACATCCAAAGACTCAGATAATTTCACTTGTGGTTCAGCAACAGCTCTTTTCTTTCTCACACAATGGCGACTTCATCCCGATAATGCAATCGCATTAACAAGGTTAGTACACCGACCGGCGGAGCTCAGTTGGTACACCCACGAACTGTTGACATACAAACCCAGGTTCAAATCCAGATACAATCAGATGACCAGAACCAAATAATTTCTTAATTGTCTCGGGCCGGTCAGCTCAATGATGATATCTCAAGGCTGTAACAGTTGCCTCTTAAGACGAAAAGGTTAGTAGTACTTAGTACAGACCGCAACTTCATCAGCACTAATCGATGTCAGGACGGCAACATAGATCAGATCAGAATTTGAAATCAGTTAATATAACTTAATAACTTGAAATTTTGAAAACCTCAAAACACTTTCCTGGCGTTTTGTCTAAGATCTTAGTACAGACCGCAACTTCATCAGCAGTAATGGATGCCAGGACGGCAACATAAATCACATCAGAATTTGAAATGCATGTCAGTTAATAACTTGAAAATTTGAAAACCTCAAAACACTTTCCTGGCGTTTTGTCTAAGATCAAGCGCAGCAACTTCAAGACTTCAAAACCTCATCAGCAGTAATTGATCATTAAGTTAACATTAACACGTAATACTTGAAATTTGGCTGAAAAACATTGTCGACAAACGTTGACTCAATCAAGTACGCAACGATGTGAACGCTCTGATTTGAACCCTTGCATTCACGCCTACAAAACGGGAGCTGAGGAAAACCACAAAACGGCGAACACATGGAAATATAGACGGGATATCACGAACTTTGCGTAGGAGGGCATGCATGACAAGTAGAGCCTCGTAATGGCAGAGACTTAAACCACCAGTGTCATTTACGATCAGCTCAGGCTGTCACCGCGAGGTAAATGCTCAGTACCATTTACGATCACCCTCGTCGGCAAGAGGTTAGTGCTTAGTACCATTCACGATCACCCTGGTCAGCAGGAGGTTAGTGCCGCTTTTCCAGCTGGTCGCACGGGATTGGCCAAGGTATGTCTGCAGGTTCTTTTTCTGTCTGTGCAGGTTCATTGGCAACTTGGCACGATTATTTACGAGGTTACCATAGTCACGCGTAGTGGTAGTTTCAAAATGATCTGAATTCAGGGGCCAAAAATGATCTGAATTCAGGGGCCATTAATGAATTTCATCAACGGCCTGCCGACGTGGTGGCGATCCCCAAACGTCACGGCACGTTTACGACCGACCAGTGCAGGCAAAAAAGAGGTCTGGGAAAAGTGCTGCTGGTTCAAACACAGGCACGGGCACGCAAATACAGACAAAGAAGTCTGGCAATGTGAAGTCCATACTATGAAACAACAGAAAGGTAAACCCCAGGTTACTGAGGGTAAACCTGAGGTTACCAAAGGTAAAAGATAAACCTGAGGTTACCAAAGGTAAAAGAGAAACCTGGGGTTACCAAGGGTAAGAGGTGAAGTTGAGGTTACCGAAGGTAACACGTAAAGTTGAGGTTACCAAAGGTAACAAGTAAAGTTGAGGTTACCAATTGAACCAAAGGTAAAAGGTAAACTTGAGGTTACCCCCAAAGGTAAAACATAAACCTGAGGTTACCAAAATTAAACCTGAGGTTACCAAAGGCAAAACATAAACCTGAGGTTACCAAACTTTAACCTGAGGTTACCAAAGTTAAACCTGAGGTTGCCGAAGATAAAACAGATGTTAGGAAACGTAAAACTGAGGTGACCAAATGTAAATATTGGCTTTATCCAAGGTAAACGTGAGCTTTCTAAAGGTACACCTGAGGTTTCTAAACGTAAAGTGGAGGTTTCTGAAGCAAAAAAAAAAAGAAAATTTAAACACCCTGAAAAATGGAAACTTACCACAGTCAAAGCAACGCTCAGCTGGCCCCATTTCTGCTGAAAAGCCTTGGCGTCAAGAGAAGGCCGGGGTGCAAGCACCAGCTGCTGAGGAGGAGGAGCCGGCGCAGCCGCCGCTGTGTCGGGAACGCTCAGGCCAGAAAACAAGTCGTCCATAGGCACAGCCTGCGACGCCAATGGCGGAGTCGCTTGTCTTGAACTTGGGACCGGAGTTTCGAATTCCGGGAGCAGGGGCATCTCTCTTTGATGTGTGCCCGCCGGCTTTGGTTGAGAGGCAACCGTTGCCGGCGCTTCCAAGAGCAACGATGATGACACCGCCGGCGCGACATCGAGAATGGAAATCTCTGGTGCACTGTATGCATCAGCTCCATTGCCAGTAGATATCAATCGTGTGTCCTCCTTCTCCGAAGCACTGAGCAGCATGTCATTGTCCGAAAACTCCGATTGGTGAAGGAATCCATCATGTGCCGACGGCGAAGACAACTCTCTCTCCCCCATCAACGATTCACTTTCTGTGTTTCCTACCAGCTCTTTGTTCAAAAACATATAAGATGGCTGATAGACAACAACAAAACAACAATCAGATATATCCCACCTTCCCCCCCCGACTAGGCATGGCAGCCTACGACACCCATGCCCAATAGTCCCCTCCCCCCCCCATCAAACTTCACTCCGCCCCCCCCAAACCCCCTCTCTCTCCCATCAATGATTCACTTTCATCCCTTCCTACCAGCTCTTTGTTCAAAAACATTTAAGATGACTGATACTCAGATATGTCCCACCCTACCCCCAACACAAGGTGTGGCAGCCTACGACATCCATACCCAATACTCCCCCCTCCACCCAAAACCTTCACCTCCCCTTCAAATCCGAATCCCTTTTAAAATGCAAACCAACAAGATAACCACATCCGTCGACGGCTCAAGGATGACACACATAAATCAAGCAATGGTCCCAAAAAAAAAAAAAAAAAAAAAAAAAAAAA